GTAGGGAATCTATCAGCTCTACAGTGAGAGTCTGATTGTGCACGAACTGAAAACAGGGGCACAAGTTAAAAAAGTAAAAAATAATAGCTGAAAGGTTGAGTTCAGAAAGAAATCAAGGCAAGGAAAATTACCTGCATCATCAGCAGTTGGTTAGACCTGGCTGGGTCAGGAACTGATCTACTGGATTCGCCCATCCCAGCAGTGGCCTTCAGCGACCAGATCCTTGCCCTGTCTACTTCGGACATGCCAGCAAAATTGCCGAAGTAGGCTGCAGCTCCTTCTCGGTTTTGACCCCATATGAGGTCCCAGATGTGATCTGGGATTGGAATTCGGGGGGCCGAGAAACCCATTTCTCCAGAATGCAGAGTCTGGAAAGAAGGGAAGGACGACGATGGAGCTTGATTAGCTTTGGTTGTCTCAGCATCGTCCTTCTCAGAGGAGTCAAGTACTATGACCTCCTCTTCTTCAGGGGTGAGGACGAAAGCCTCAACCTCTCTTGCGATATCTGCCGTGAAGCCTTCAGCACTTGACATCACGGCATCTTTATTTCCGTGCTCAGCAGCACTCTCCTTGATTTCTTCTTGGACCCCTCCCTTAGGTCCGGGAGTTCTCTGATCCACCTCCATCTCAGGAGGTGGTGGAGGGGTCTTTTGAGGAGATTGGGGTGTTGGCTGGGGAACCCTCGGCGATCCATTGCCTTCCTCAGGTTCCCTTATTGCGACGCCGATGGTCATCGGCCTCTGCTGAAAATCATGAGGGCCGATGATGGCCATCCTTCGGCGCCTTTTCAGAAGGGGCTGCTCGTCCATATCTGAATCTGAAGACTCTTGTATTTGATCTTCGGGACGAACAGGAGCTTTGCCTTCTCTGTGTCTGTTACTCTCTTCAGACTGTAACAGACAGGGGGGGAAGAAGAGTGTGAGTAAAAAAAAAAAAAAAAAAAGAAAAGAAAAGAAAAAAGTTGTCTAAAAACTCACCGAGGTCTTCAGCAAAGCCTCGTCTTCTTCAGCTGCTCTAGCTGCAGCTTCGGCTTCAGCAGCTCTGGAGGACCCTTCTCCTCCTTCACAAGCCTCAAGTACCCGTGCAACCTCTTCGGCTGTGCGGGCAGCTTCAGCTTCTTCTTCCAGCAGCTGAAACAAGGGATCCCTCTTCTTCCACCAAGGCTTCTGCCTCTGATACAGAGCAACAACCTCAATTTGGAAGTGGGAAGAGTCTAGGTGAACCTCTCGGCGCCTTGGTTCAGTGATAGGGGGAGCCCGATCAGTTACGACTCGTTCTCGGCTGACGCCAAGGCGAGCGTAATCAATGCCGACGTTGGTCTCGTCCCGTTCTGAAAAAGAAAAGGGGAGAAGTCAATTCAGTTAGTTCGGCACATCACAAGAAAGCAAAATGAAAGAAGAAAAGAGATAATTAAAAGGCCTCGGCCCCAGCCGAAGAAGATTACCATCCCTAAACTTTCGGCTGAGGCCGACAGCTGCCAGCATATTCTCTTGGAAAACATAGTGCGTATCGGGGAGCCAAGTCTCCGGGATATGCTGCATTCGGCCGCTGCCTCCCCGGTTCGGCAGCTTGCCGAAGATGTTCTGCTGATTTAGGTTCGGGTCTGGCCCGCTATCTTCGGGAGGACCTAAACTTCCCATATCAGGATCCGGCTCGGCAAGATACCGGGGAGCGCTGAAAACATAAGGATGGCTCGGCTCCGTGGGCGCCCTAACCCAAATCCATTGACCTCTCCAGTCCTTGTCTGAAGAGTCGTTCGGCCACATGGTTAGGAACGGGGGCCGAGACTCAATCCGATACCACCCAGAACCATGGCTTCCGTGCCCACTCTGAATATTTGGCACTAGCCGATGGAGCTTTCTGAAGCAGTGCAGGTTCGGCACGTATCTGAAGAATTTGCAGACCCATAAGTACGTCATTACCCTTCGGATGCTGGTGGGGGTCAGCTGGCACAGGGAAATGTTGTAATGGATCAGCAAGTCTCGAACGAATACGTCCAAAGGGAACCTCAGCCCATACTGAAGCTGTCTCGTGTACACCCCCACATACCCCGGGGGTGGACGATGGATTCTATCGGATGCTGAGGGCATTCGGCACCAATATCCATCAGCTTCAAAAATGCCATAGTGCAACTCAATTTGCTCAGCAAATCGATATTGATCGGCGTTCTCTACCCACCATGAGTAGGGACGGTTCTTTATCATGGCCGAAGCTACTTCGGCATCCTCCCACTCTGAAAACCCTGGGAGGATATCCCAAAGGACAGCGGGAACTTCATCATCCCGTCCTGAAGCTCTCACCCCCTCAGCCCTCTGAGGAGGAGCCGAAGAAATGGGAGTCGCCCTAACCCCTTCAGCAGGGTCAGACTCTGTCCTTCGTCCATTCCAGGTCCCAATCCTGTCCCTGGGATCGGGGATTAGCCTTGCTCTTCTTGGAGCACGGGCTCCACCTCTAACTCCCCTCACCATCGACGAATTTCGAAGGAAAAAGTCGAAAAAGGGGAAAGAGTGCAAAGTCGAGGAAAAATGAAATAAAATCAAAGGAATTTACCTTGATCTGAAGCAAAAGCCGCCGATTTACGAATTGGTAGTGACAGGTCTCAGCTTCTAAGCTTAATGCTCGGGGAATTTGCGAAGTTTTGATGCGGGCTCTTGAGCGTTCTTGAGAATTCTGGGTTTGTGTTGATGAGTGAGTGGGGAGAGAAGACGCGCCTCTATTTATATCTCCAGAAATGGGAATTCAAGGAGTCTGCGTTTCAATTTCTCTCAAGCACCCCACTAAGTAGCCGTTAAACACACGACCTTGCAGTTAAATCGCCCACTACCCGTCCAACTTCCGCAATTATCCACATTAACTGTTGTTATCTCATTAATCATGGGTTAATTACGGTTTAAATTCACATTTTTGGATCAACAAATCATTCACTTCCCTCCTTTTCTGATTAAATCAAACCCGACCCGTCATCCTTCCAAATCGGGTCTGGGGGGCAAGTTGTTTGGGTCCAATTTAGTCTAATTGGGCCTGGTCACTGAATGATCCAATTAAAAGCCCAAGGCTAAGGTTCAACTCTCCAAATATGCTAAAGTCAAAAATCAACATCCTCAAAGCCATGTCAAGGTCAGTCAACGGCCCAATCAGCTTGGCCCAGCCCAACTGACTTCCGGGCCCAATCCGCCTCCTTCATTAGCCAAGGTATAAAAGCCAACAATTTGGTCAATTCTTGGTAAGACAAAAAAAAGCCTCAAGCAACTAAACTCTTGCACAGCTTTCTCTCTCTAATATACTGACTTAAGCATCGGAGGGGCCTTCCTCGGCGTCCCCCCCGAGGCTAGTTTACGTGTATTTGTTGTGCAGGAAACCCTCGGCTCCTGCGTCGTTCGGACCGAGATCAAGTTCCCTCAAGATAAAAGGATCTTCCGGGATCCGATTGTTTTCATCCGAAACACTACTTACTACTAGTCTACTACAAATTTGTCCTGTGATACTGTACTGGACTTGTTATAGTTTTTCATTGGTAAATATAAATTTATTTAGGAGTACTCTTGTTATCTGGTTAAATACCATAAACTTTTTATAAAAAAAAACCATAAACTTACAAACTTATCATGTACTTTTTCCGTTTTCTTATATAGAGTAGTTAAAACACTTTTATAAAATGAAAATGTCACAATAACATACGATAAAAGAAAGGTTTTTATGGTGAAAATTATACTATTACCTTTATTTAATTAAACCTCATGACTCACTTGAAATACTCCTAATAATCTCTTAACCCCATTTTAAGTGTACTATATCATATAAGGCCTATTTTTCTTAAATATCAATCATGATAAAGTGTGTGTTGCAATTATAAAGAACGGATGAATTATGGTTACCTTTTGTTTTAAAAAAACTGCACCATTGACAAATATAAATTCTTTATATTATGCATATCATGGTGGGAAGTTTCTTAGGAAATGCGTAAGTAATACAAGGATATATATTATGCTATTGATTGATAAGATATATTTCGAATCACATGAGAAAATAGGGAAATTTGATTATTTATCAAGAGCTTTTAGGGCCATATATACTAAAATCCCCTCTTCTAATAGTATTTGACCCATGCATGTGTTGCATGCTTTAGCTTATAGCGTTGGTTATTATTTATTGTCTTATTCCAAGTGTTTTCATGTTTTTGGTTGGTAGACTAAACAATGTATCCTTAATATTGGAGGACAACCAAATTGTGTAAGTAAATTACTTAATGTATCCTTAATATTGGAGGACAACCAAATTGTGGTGTAACTAAATTACCTAGTGTTGTATGTAACGGAGGTCTTTGTGGACGACAAAGTTAAGATGAACTTGTAGACTTGTTCTAAAGAGAGGTGGTTAAGCAATATTTAATGGTTTTGGTGCATGGTGGATGTAACAAAGATACGAGGTCGATAATATAACATTTATCGTACATTTGAATTTAAATTGTCTTTGATAGATCAGAATATATGTATATAATACTTCGTATCATATTATGTTTGCTATAAAAAACAGAAAATTTTCGTTCGTTATCGTATTATGAAATTACTCTGACATTCAATTAATTAGAGTTGGTAGATAAGACGATAACAATACCATAAGGAAGCTATATAACAACTAAACAAGATTGATATCATAATATGAACAATTTCATTAGCCTATTAATATTAATTAATAAAATCTGACCTTAGTTGATCAATTAATAGTACATATATTAAAAACAAAATAATAGTCCAACTAAAAAACAAAATAAAAAACAAAATGCCTCAAATTTGGGTATTGCCTCATTTTATAATATGCCAAACATATTTTTTTTATACTAAGTACTAAAATTAGCTCCTCTGACAATCCCCTGTATTTACAATCATTTGTGGGATTAGAGTCATAAACCACCACCCTTATATATTTCTTTTTTTTCCTCTCTATTTTTTTATAAAAATAAAAAAAGACAAGAAATAAATTAAAAAAAAAAGAAAAAAAGACTAATTCCTCATCATCCTAAGGGCCAATTCTTGAAGCTCACCCATGTCATTATGGGATCTTTTCTTTCCAATAATACCCTCGGATTTCGCCGAAATTACACCACCATAGTCTTGCATTGCCATTATCATCATTCCTTGATGATCATGACCAACATTTTGTTGGTCAATTGAGTCTAATGAACTTTTTGGTGATATTGGATTATTGTTATTATTACTAGTACTATTATTATTATTCATATAACTATAATTATTGTTAATATCATTGTTGTCAACTCTTGTTGTTGTTGTTATTGTTGGGCAGCTTTGTGTTTGAAAAACTGATGTTTGAATTGTTGGATAATTGTGACAGTTATTCCCTTGTATTGCTGTTGTTGCTGTTGCTGTTGTCCATTGGTTTTCCATGTTGTTGTTTCTGTTATCTACTAAATTGTTGGCTAGTTGTGCCTTCACTTGTACAAGTTGTGCTTGTAAATATGCAACCTATTATTCCCAAAAAAACAATGAGATTCAATACATGATTACATGAATGTATATATAAAACTAAAATCCTCAAAAATTTTAACTGCGAGTATACTCATACATAACTTGGGTTTTCGAATTTCAAATCTAGTTCGTTATAGTGGTTGAGTTAGATCTTCATGTTAATTATAGTGTGACCATTATGATATTTTCATACACAAATTTATATTATATATTGAAATTACGGAGTAATTTTTTTATGTAAAATGCATGTGTAATTTTGTAGAATTATGATCAAATTTTTAGACAAAGAAATTTATTATGTAAGACTAGGGAATATGAAGGGAATTTGTTTACATATTCTGAAAATGCATTACTTTCTGAGGAAGCCCCAATTAATCAATTTGATAAACAAAATTTGTTTATCAAATGACAAAATGGTAAATAAAACAACATAAATATCAAGTCATACCAACAGTAGGACCCATATTTAATAAAAAGTTGTTGATTTATTATTTACAACTTTGTCATTTGATAAACAAATTTTGATAATCATATTGATAAACTTGTATTTTCTCTTACTTTCTACGATTATTTTAGAAATTAATACCAAAATAGATATAAGAAAACTCTAATTTCTCTTTCAAAATGTTGAATTAACATGATTATTATCAATAATTAATCATTTACTTACAAGATCTTTATTTTAAAAAAAAAAACCATATTTATATTACATTGCTACTAATAGAGATATTGTGAGAAGGAAAAAAAAAACCCATAAATTTTGGACATAAAAGAAGGAAAACAAAGTGAGAAGTTTTATACTTTACTCAAGAAAAAGAAACTAAGTATTTGTGGGTGGTATATGATGATAAACATAAATTCTTAGCTTATTATTTACCTGTTGTTGCAAAGCAAAGATGTGAGCAACACAACCGTAAACCGGGTCACGGATCCGGGCTTGGGCTTCATAAGCAATGGTAACAACAGCCTCACAACGGTCATGCACTGGGAGATGCAAAAGGAGTTTAGACACATTGCTAGCTCCAAACACTTTATGTATGGCAGCGAAACGAGCCGGTCCTTGCTCGGAACAAAAATACGGGGCGAAAATGCAATCGGATGCGCATTTTCGCCTTAAGAACTTGCATGCTCCACAAGGAGATCCTGCCCCTGCTGCCATACTCACTTGAGGAGAAGAAGAAGAAAAAGAAGCAATTTTTAAGTAAGGAAAAAAGAGAGTTTTCTAAGAAGATTTTATTTTTGAAGAGGGTTTTAAGCACACGGGTGTACTAGGAAATGGTGCAAAGATAAGGGGGTTTGGTGTGATTATGTATGAACTAGTACTACAACTACTAATTAGTAGCTTAAGAAGTGGGGTTGGGTCATAATAAGAGGGGGATATATATTAAGAAAAAGTATGGTATTACACTATTATTAGAGGGTCCCTGAATGTAGAGTTCTATGGAAACATTTGGTAATGGTTTTGTATAAATTATAATTTGTGAAACTATAGTTTTTTTTCTAAATCTTTATATCACTTTAAAAGGTTTCGTCTTAGATCAGGTTTGGTTTGAATGTGTACATCTTTTCTTATGAGACAGGATCTGGTGGGTATTTTTGAGACGTAATGTAACGATTGTCTATTATTTTATATCAGTCTTTTGAATACTGGTATTTTGAACAAACTGACAAATAATCATCGAGTTATTGATTTATGAAGTATGGTATTAATAAAACAAAGAGATAATAATATGAAGCGAGTGGAGTAATAATTAAGTAATGCATAAAATATAAAAAATGGGGTTGGACTGAGTGAGTGAGTGATTGACCGTTGAGTATACTTTGTAATAGCAAGTAGTACAATTAGTAGTATTATTAATGTGAGATAATGATGTAAGATTGGATTAATTAAATAATGGTGGTGTAGTTTAGTTTAAGGGCATGATATGGGTAGTGAATATAAAAATAGAAGTGTACTAAGTTTGATTTAGAGGCTGTTTAGTTCACCTGATTTTAGCTAATCTGATTTGATCTGATCTAAACTTATTTTTTCTGATCTGATCTGATCTGAACTTATTTTTTCTGATCTGATCTGATCTAAACTTATTTTTCCTGATCTGATCTGATCTGAACTTATTTTTTCTGATCTGATCTGATCTGAACTTATTTTTTCTGATCTGATCTGATCTGAACTTATTTTTTCTGAAATAAGTAAAAATAAGGTGAACTAAACAGGGCCTTAGAGGTCTTCTTTCACTTCAATTTTCCGCCGAACGCCGCACCTGGGAAACTGCTGTCATTTGTTTGTTTTCTGGCTATCTTCCACTTACACGTGTCACTATATCATTTTTTACCATGGTGTTTTTATTTTTATTTTTTTTATTTTTATTTTCCAATAGTAAAATAAAACTAATTGAAAAAAAAAACCCAAGTACTACTCTTTAGTTAATAATCTTTTTTTTTAAATAAGTTAATAATCTTAATATGGAGTATTTTGTAGTACATTATTTTTACTTAACTAAAATCTCAATTTAAATCTTAAATTGTACATAGATGAAAATATTATCCCAGTGTTATTTCAAAATCTTGATTAACTATTAATTTTTGTAAGAAAAGTATCATGATAAATTAGGGCTTTCTCATTTTTTAGTATGACAACTCTTGTTTGTAGGAGATTTTCAAAGTTGCATAAGTGTTTGTTTGCGCGAGTTCAGTAATGCATGTTATTGATTAATTATTACATTATATAGTAAAAGGATAAGTTATCAAAGAAATTCGAGTATGAGTCACATATAAATATATTGGATGGGGGTTTATTTCATTTCTTAGTGTTGATTACTTGAAGAACACAATTTATAATTATTGTTAGTGATGTAGTCTAAGCTGGTCCTTCAAACTTCAACAATCAAAAGAAAATTTGTGAATCTTTTGACCTTGGAATGAAGCATGTATTGGTGAAACAACTATTTATAAATTGAAAAGTTTGTGATTAAGTGCTTTGATTTCTTTCCGCTTTCTGCCCATTTCTTTTAAGCCAAAGTGGGTCATTAGTCACTAAGATTATAAAGTTACTAATTAAAATTATTAGATGTATAATGTACTCCATATTAGCAAGCTAAGAAACATTGAAATAAATAAGGAAAGTTGTCCGTAAAATAAATTACATTGGAAATAAGTGTTGCTTTTGAGCACTCACTTAAATTTGTAACCTCATTAAGCCTCATCGTCCCAATGTCTGGGAGTCAGCTACTGCTCGATGGAATTTTGAGCACCTATTTATTGCTACCATGGTTTTCCTTTATTATGCAATTACTACCACTTTACTAGACAATCAAATTAATCATCAACTCATATTCCAACTTGTTAACCAACAAGAATTAGCTCAAGTGGTAAGCAACTTGATGTCTTAAGGGAGGTCTCGAGTTTGAGCCTCACCGAATGTAGAAAACTCTTGTTGGTAGACTCATCCATCATAAGCCAAGGTGTGCAACTCGGGTCGGATCCAAGTGTAGTCGGATCAGTTGTCATGTGATCTGACATCGCAGGTGTACTGTATAAAATTTATATAATAATGTTCAGTAAAAATAATTTCAGTTCAGCAAAAATAAGATGAAGTGAACGGGGCCTTATATTCGAATCATGTGGATTGTCCTACATGAAATAACAAAAGTAAGATGACTACCATATATCAAAATCCTACTAGGTTTCCACTTGAATTTGTGTGTGATTGACATCCTAATTAACCCCATCTCAAGTCGAGAAATTTTACCCGGAAACTTAGTTGAAAATTTGTTTCTTCTATACAAAATTAGTAAACTAATTACGAAGTCATGTATAGGTCCGTTACAGAGTGCGTAAGTGTAATCTTACTTTCAACAAAAAAAAAAAAAAAAAAAGAAAAGAAAAAGAAGTGTGTTTTCTTGCCAATTAATTGTTGTTGACTAACATGGTCTCGATTTTGTTGCCTAAACAATTTGTTGTTCATAAAATACAAACTTCAATGCTAGATTTTTAGAGAACAGAAATTACATATCGTGATCTTTACTTCAGTTTCTACTAACCTCCTTATAAAGTTCGACTCTATTACTTAGAATTAAATACAGCCAAAATTTTAATTGCAACCGTCATATATTAAATACAGAATGGATGTTAACTAGTTTAATTAGAATTAAATAGTGAAGATAGTACTTAAACTCTGAGATCAAATGTCATTTACAAGTACATTATTTGTCTTTTATGACTCTCTCAACAGTAAAAATTGCCCAAAGAGTATATTGCCATTTGGCGTAATAAAAACATGTTGTTGTATATAATATACCCGTTGCACTTAAGAATTAAGATCGATCTAGTAGTAGGAATTTATGGCTTATCACATTTATTGACAAGGGATCAAGCCATATGCTACATAGTTGCCTGTCTCCAAGACCAAAAGATAGGAGAAGAAAGAACAAAAGCCAGAGTCAAAGATCTATGAAGAGAAAAGGTCCAAGTTATAGTAACACATGAATTGCACTTAATAATTATTTCGTCATCTTTAACCAAGGAATATGGCAGGAAGTATTCATGCATTAAAAACTCTAACTTCTAAAGAGTACATCATAACAAAAACTAGCACTATATATTCATATTACTAATAGATATTGTGTCATCATCTACAAGATATAAAGAATAAAGAATATAAGGTCAATAGCTCTTATTAACAACGGTACAGAACTTTCATGACGTGTTCAAACATATATTCAATTCAATACAATCAAATCTCGTCATTTACTCACATGGCACACATAAGAAACTGAATTTTAGAAAGATTTTTCATATATTGAACATACATCAACACCATAAGAAATAAACTCACAACATATACTTAAAAAAGATTAAGTATAGCTAGATTCGATTTTATGACACAACAATGCGTAAAGTTTACTGAATTGAAACTATAATTATAACAAATTTCAACCTAGCAACATCAATCAATTAATTTGAAAATATGCACATGTGTTATGCATCCTTCTCATCAATCAACGATGACATCAAGTATCATTATAGATAGAGGTGTGGCAAATTGATCATTTCAATTGGGATGTATTGATTACCTAGCTAGGGTGATAGGTCATTTGCATGGTCAAGTTTTGGGTCTTGTTTGAGTATATAGCAACTTAATTAATTATTTGAAATCGATCAGGATTGAATTTATTTAGGTAAGATTACCGTTTCTAACCTTGAATGTATTAGTAAATAATCGGATTCAAATTAGTTCTATAAGGTATCATATTAATTAGATAAAAGCCCGAAAAGATAAATTAACAATAATAATAAATAATAAAACTTTGTCATATGATCAAAGATGCATGCACTCCTACTTAGAAAAATCTAATTACAAACAACAAAAGAAACACAAGAAGTGTACGTTCAAATATAAATTAAAAGATTTGAACAACAAACATGAGTGGCCGCTTAAGCTGTAGTTAAGGGCTAATTTTTTGTATTATTATTAATATTAATATAATGCTAATAAGGAATCTTATAATCTTGGTATATTAAATAATGAAGGCTTTTTATGTGCAATAATTGGTCCAAAAACATTTGCATTAGGTTAAGGAAACATCAATGCTTGACAGTACAAATCGTAGAACAATTATGTTTATGTGAATATATTAGTGTATACTTCGAATCATATTATCAATTTTGCTTAAAATTACCCTGTTATTAACTTAACACGTGCCACACGCATGGCTCGTAGTAGATACATTTATTAAAAAAAAACATTTAAGAATGAAAAAAAAAAGTAGATTCATGGATCAACATCTCATGTAAAAAGACCAGAAACATTTTATGCTTACAAATAAGTTCATGTGATAATAATTTACAAACAAGTTTAAAGTATGTCTAAATATTTAAGAGTTCCATTTTTGGGACGGAAAGCAAGTACTAGGGAAAAATATTTTGGCCCAAAAATGTGCAAATTCTACTTTGGATAACAATGCTACACACATAAAATGAAGAAAATTGCGTATTTGACTCATTAATTAAGGTCATTGGTATACCAAAATGCATGTTACTTATACTTCCTCTGTTTTTTTTTTAATTAACACCTTTCTATTATCACGTTTGCCAACGCGTGTTTTTAATGATTAATATCTCTAATTATCAACATTGTAAAATTATAAAAAGTAGATATTAATACATTGTAACGATTCGAATAAGATCCCACATGAATATAGTTTTATCTAGAGCTGTCAATTCGGGTAAACGGGTCGGGTAATAGTGGGTCGGGTCAACTCAGCTAGGTCGGGTCAATTCGGATTAATTTCATAACCTATGCAGGTTGGGTTTGGGTTAGGTCATGCTTGAGTCGGGTCACGTCGGGTCATACTTCTTATTGGGTTTGGGTCGGGTTTAGGTTGGGTTACATTCGGGTCGGGTGAACAATAAGTCGAATTTAATTCGGGTTTTCACGGGTTAGAATTCTCGAGTTCGAGTCGGGTTCGGTTCAAGTCAATAATTTGCGGGTTAGAATCAGGTCGGGTCATTCTTGGATTTGATTCGGGTTCGTTTCAAGTCAAT